CAGTCATCTCAGTCGACCCGTGGCACCTGGGTCTGCCCCGTGACCTCCTGCCAGCGGGCATTCGACACTTCACGTGGCCTCAAGGTGCACATGGCCTGGCACAAGTGTCGTCATGGTGACGTCACCGCCACTTAGTGGCGAATGGCGGTTGTTGTGTTGCATTTAGCGCACTGCACTACAAATCCCAGACCCGAGTTCGATTCCCACTTACGGTCAACACCGGTGACGATTATCTGAACCGGTCCTGTGCTTCCCCTAGGTCGACTCAGCCTCAAATGAATACCTGGTGCGGTGTGTAAAACATCGCCACTTGGGAGACAAAGGCGGCCGGGCACGGTGCTGGCCACCCACACCCCCTCGTGTGCCGTGCCGGCCTTCATAGGTGCTACTCGCTAACAGCACTTGCCCAAACTGACTGTTTAAGGCTATACTGGGGGTTCTTTGTGTATGTATGTATACGTGTGTGTGCGTGTGTATTCGTGTGTGTGCGTGTGTGTATATACGTGTGTGTGCATGTGTGTGTGCGTGTGTATACGTGTGTGTGTGTGAACAGGAGCGGCAGGCGAGTGCATGGGGAGGAGTGGAGTGAGATGAGAGGGGAGAGGTAGGAGAGAGGAGAGGGATAATTTTTGCATGAATTGTGCAAAGGAGACACAGTTCTGTTAAACCGCAGGGAGTCTCCAAGTGAGCGAGAGAGACACGGGGTCTCCATGGCTCAAAGAGAGAGATAGAGACACGGGGTCTCCATGGCTCAGAGAGAGAGAGAGACGGGGTCTCCATGGCTCAGAGAGAGAGAGAGACACGGGGTCTCCATTGCTCAGAGAGAGAGACGTAGGATCTCCATGGCTCGCATTTACTCCGAGCCAAGGCATGAGGTCATGGAGAGTCTGTCATTGAGGCTGGTCTCTCCCTGTGTGTGGGCGAGCGTGAATTACGCGCCTGGGACTGTGTGAGAAGCGTGTGTGGTTTTTGCACTGATCTGCATTCGTGTATGTGCAGGTTTTAGGGTATCCGATTGTGTCTGGCGCCACGGTGGCGAGAGGTTAACTACCTCGCCTGCTATACAGGAGACAGGAGTTTGTGGGTTCGATCCCGACCCTGACGCCTGCTGTATATTTGGAGTTTCACCGTCTCTCTCCCCGTGGTCAAATGGATTTTTCCTTCCACATTTAGAATCAACGGTCCCGTGTTCAGAGTATTTGGATGCTATACATTTCCAGGTGATGATTATGATGATAAGCGTCTAAGTTGAGCTGTAGTTTGTGATAGCGAGGTTGCCTCTGAAAAACAGCTACATAGCTCAGTGGGGCCTTACCTGGTAAAATAAAAGATAGTTTCGTTTTTAGTTTCGTATACCTTGAGGAATGACAGTGGTCAGCTCACTGAGCTATAAAGCCATTTACGGCCAACTAAACCGGTCAACTTTACTCATGGCCACCACCGTTGACCATTATCTGAATTGGTCTTGGGCATCCCCTAGATCAACTGGGCCTGAAACGAGTACCGGGTGTGGTTGTGTAGACATCAGTGACTGGGAGACACAAGTGTGCCGGGCGTGGTTTTGGCATCCACCCCCTGGCGGCTGCCTCATGCAGCCCCCAAGCCCTGCCCCACCGCATGCCCAAAGCAGTTTCGGTTTGTCGGGATCGAGGCGGCTAAATGGGCACGGCATGGGCGAGAGCAGCGGTCAGCAACTGTTCAAGGAGGAAGAAGAAGTAGAAGATCGAGAGATGTTTATCTTGGGTTTTTGTCTCCGACCAAAATAGTTGGAGAGCCGCGACGCAGCAGCCGTGGGTTGACAACAATGACGACAACAACAACGACGACAATAACGACACACATTGTGACTCAAACTAAATGGGTGATTGGATAACCTGGTGTCTATTTCGTTTACCTCCACTTAGTTATTCTTTGGCTGTTGTACGTTTTGTTGTCACTACCAAGACAGTTCACGGCGACCCCATTCCCTGACATTTATTCAATTATCTTCACGTTCAATTACGTTTCAGATTTTTTTTTAACGAACGACTGCTGCCCGCAAGGGACAGCCAAAGAGCCGCCAGGGGGCAGCCAAAGAGCCGCCAGGGGGCAGCCAAATAGCCGCCAGGGGGCAGCCAAAGAGCCGCCGCGTGCTGGCTCCGGAGCCGCGGGTTGCCTACCCCAGTGCTAGAGAAGAGATGGAACCGATGTGGTCCACGAATATGTGGAGCCGGTTGGACCTGCTGATGGCTGTTACCAGCGGTGTCAAGATCGGCCTCTGCGGATGAGTCTCCTTTTAAAGAAGCTGCTGGGCAGTCGGAGGCAGTCGCCCTCCAGCAACAACAACCGGAGGGTAGAGGAGCGATGCTCACAACAACGAGCGGAGCACCGGGCGGGCAGATAAAACGCAAGTTGGCACAGTAGGCAACACAGTCGGTGCATCTGCCAGTCATCTCGGTCAGTTAACCCATAACACCTGGGTCTTGTACATTGACCTGCCAGCGAGCCTTCCGCACTTCACGTGGCCTCGACATGCACCTCGCCTGGCACAAGCGCCGTGGTGACGTCATCACCACGAGTAGTGAATGGTGGCTGTTGTTGTTGTGTACCGTTGTATACAAGTCCGTGTGTGGTCGGGCATCGATTGGCACGCTGCAAGGAACCAGCGACCCGAGTTCGATTCCCGCTCACGACCAACGCCACTGACGATTATCTGAACCGGTCTTAGGCCTCCCCTAGGTCGACTCAGCCTCAAATGATAACCTGTTGTGGTGTGTAAACATCGCCACTGGGGAGACAAAGACGGCCGAGCATGGTGCTGGCCACCCAGCCCCTCGTGTATCTTTTCGGCCTTCATAGTTGCTACTCGCCTAACAGCGCTTTCCCAAAGAGCCCATGATAGGCTATACGGGGGATCTTTGTTATATTGTACTGTTTGCCAACCGGTGACACTGCGGTTGGCTCACTGCACCACAAATCCGCCAACCCAAGTTAAATTCCTGCTCACGCCTGCCGTCACCAGTGAGCTTTCCAAACTGCTTTCAACAGACGGCCTAGGTGCACGCCGCTCCAATTTGTAAGAGCGTTTGGCGTTGAGTCACCTTCATGATCTTCGATTAATCCGTTTCCGTAAGCCCCACCGCCACCTGACACGGCCGCATAAATGCGGCTGTCACACCGTGCGCGAACGTCTCATGATGCGCCCAAAATCATCGATCGCCTCCGATTATGAAATCACTCCAAGCGAGTGTCGAGCGACTGCAGGTCACGAAGCTGTGCACACACGCACGGCAATTAAATTTGTTCGGTTACGTCAGGCGGCGGAGGGTTTGACAACGCACGCGACCTGAAACAGCAGAGAGGGTGCTGAAGTTGGCCTGGGGTCGCATGGATGGTGTCTGGAGGCGGGCGGGAGCACGGTGGAAACTGGCCTCGAGAGAGCGAAGAAGAGCAGGATCAACGAGGGGGGAGGCTCGGCCACAGCCGACCGCCCGGTGCGGACGCATAGGCAGTGTTGGTCTATGGTGCAGTGTTGGTCTATGGTGCAGTGTTGGTCTATGGTGCAGTGTTGGTCTATGGTGCAGTGTTGGTCTATGGTGCAGTGTTGGTCTATGGTGCAGTGTTAGTCTATGGTGCAGTGTTGGTCTATGGTGCAGTGTTGGTCTATGGTGCAGTGTTGGTCTATGGTGCAGTGTTGGTCTATGGTGCAGTGTTGGTCCATGGTGCAGTATTGGTCCATGGTGCAGTGTTGGTCTATGGTGCAGTCTTGGTCTATGGTGCAGTGTTGGGCTATGGTGCAGTGTTGGGCTGTGGTGCAGTGTTGGTCTGTGGTGCAGTGTTGGTCTATGGTGCAGTGTTGGTCTATGGTGCAGTGTTGGTCTATGGTGCAGTGTTGGTCTATGGTGCAGTGTTGGGCTATGGTGCAGTGTTGGTCTATGGTGCAGTGTTGGTCTATGGTGCAGTGTTGGTCTATGGTGCAGTGTTGGTCTATGGTGCAGTGTTGGTCTATCGTGCAGTGTTGAGTCTATGGGGCAGTGTTGGTCTATGGTGCAGTGTTGGGCTATGGTGCAGTGTTGGTCTATGGTGCAGTGTTGGGCTATGGTGCAGTCTTGGTCTATGGTGCAGTGTTGGTCTATGGTGCAGTGTTGGTCTATGGTGCAGTGTTGGTCTATGGTGCAGTGTTGGTCTATGGTGCAGTGTTGGTCTATGTGTTGGTCTATGGTGCAGTGTTGGTCTATGGTGCAGTCTTGGTCTATGGTGCAGTGTTGGGCTATGGTGCAGTGTTGGGCTATGGTGCAGTGTTGGTCTATGGTGCAGTGTTGGGCTATGGTGCAGTGTTGGTCTATGGTGCAGTGTTGGTCTTTGGTGCAGTGTTGGTCTATGGTGCAGTGTTGGTCTATGGTGCAGTGTTGGTCTATGGTGCAGTGTTGGTCTATGGTGCAGTGTTGGTCTATGGTGCAGTGTTGGTCTATGGTGCAGTGTTGAGTCTATGGGGCAGTGTTGGTCTATGGTGCAGTGTTGGGCTATGGTGCAGTGTTAGTCTATGGTGCAGTGTTGGTCTATGGTGCAGTGTTGGTCTATGGTGCAGTGTTGGTCTATGGTGCAGTGTTGGTCTATGGTGCAGTGTTGGGCTATGGTGCAGTGTTGGGCTATGGTGCAGTGTTGGTCTATGGTGCAGTGTTGGGCTATGGTGCAGTGTTGGTCTATGGTGCAGTTTTGCTCTATGGTGCAGTGCTGAGTCTATGGTGTAGTGCTGAGTTTATGGGCAGTCTTCCTCTATGGTACAGTGCTATGTCTATGGGCACTGTTGGTCTATGGTGCAGTGCTGAGTCTGTGGGTCGTGTTGAGTCCATGGGCCCGGTGGAACGCCTCCACCGTCACCCTCGGTCTCATGCTGCGTCCAAACACGTGCCATTCATCACCCTCGGATATGTGTCGGTCACTCTTTCTCTCTCTCTCTGTGTCTCTCTGTCTGTCTCTGTCTCTTTTTGTCTCTCTGTCCGGCTTGCTGGCTGGGTCAGGCTGCCTGCAGCTGTGCCAGGCGCTGAACGCCTGCGACATGGAAATCGACCAGAGGCTGCTTGACTCGCTGCCTCCGAGCCAGCGGCAGCGGATCGTCAAGCGGCTCCGCTCGGAGCAGCTCCGTGCCTACAACCAGCGAGAGAGGGACCAGCCGCAGCCTCAGCCTCAGCCGCCGCCGCCGCCACCGCAGCAGCAGTCTCACCAGGAGGTTCCGGCGCTGTCCACGCGAGTCCGTGCGGCAACCACCGCGCCAAATGCCGCCGCGCTCACTTCGACTGCGGCTCTCCGACGGCACTCGGCGCAGGACGATGCCGGCGGTGGTGGCGCGGTGCGAGGGGCGGCTGGAGGGCCGGGTGCGATGGCGGCGGCCTCGGCGGCGGCTGCTGCGACATCAAGGGGGAGGAGACACGCCGAGCGGTGGCGCTGCCGAGTGAGGTTCAGCGCCGGCGTCATCGCGCGGGACGCCATCGAGAGGATGGATGATAAGGAAGGTGAGCGGGCGGGCGGGGGGGAACGGTCTGTACCGTTCCCACTCGCCAAACCTGCGCCCACCACCTCTCACTCTCCCACATACACTGTTGCATGCCGACATCACACGAAACTCCACTCACCACCACTCACCACCACTCACCTACACTCACCTACACTCAGCACCATTCACCACTCACCACCACTCACCTACACTCACCACCACTCACCTACTCACCACCACTCACCTACACTCACCTACTCACCACCACTCACCTCACCACCACTCACCACCACTCACCTACACTCACCACCACTCAGCTACTCACCACCACTCACCACCACTCACCACCACTCACCTACTCACCACCACTCACCTACAGTCACCACCACTCACCTACAGTCACCACCACTCACCTAGTCACCACCACTCACCACCACTCACCATCACTCACCACCACTCACCATCACTCCCTTACACTCACCTACAGTCACTACCACTCACCACCACTCACCACCACTCACCTACTCACCACCACTCACCTACTCACCACCACTCACCTACACTCAACACCACTCACCTACTCACCACCACTCACCTACACTCACCACCACTCACCACCACTCACCTACTCACCACCACTCACCACCACTCACCTACTCACCACCACTCACCTACTCACCACCACTCACCACCATTCACCATCACTCCCTTACACTCACCTACAGTCACCACCACTCACCACCACTCACCTACTCACCACCACTCACCATCACTCACCTACTCACCACCACTCACCTACTCACCACCACTCACCTACACTCACCTACTCACCACCACTCACCTACTCACCACCACTCACCACCACTCACCTACACTCACCACCACTCAGCTACTCACCACCACTCACCACCACTCACCTACTCACCACCACTCACCTACAGTCACCACCACTCACCTACTCACCACCACTCACCTACTCACCACCACTCACCACCACTCACCTACACTCACCACCACTCACCATCACTCCCTTACACTCACCTACAGTCACTACCACTCGCCACCACTCACCACCACTCACCTACTCACCACCACTCACCTACACTCAACACCACTCACCTACTCACCACCACTCACCTACACTCACCACCACTCACCTACACTCACCACCACTCACCACCACTCACCTACTCACCACCACTCACCACCACTCACCTACTCACCACCACTCACCTACTCACCACCACTCACCACCATTCACCATCACTCCCTTACACTCACCTACAGTCACCACCACTCACCACCACTCACCTACTCACCACCACTCACCATCACTCACCTACTCACCACCACTCACCTACTCACCACCACTCACCTACACTCACCTACTCACCACCACTCACCTACTCACCACCACTCACCACCACTCACCTACACTCACCACCACTCAGCTACTCACCACCACTCACCTACAGTCACCACCACTCACCTACTCACCACCACTCACCTACTCACCACTCACCACCACTCACCACCACTCACCTACACTCACCACCACTCAACATCCCTCCCTTACACTCACCTACAGTCACTCCCACTCACCACCACTCACCACCACTCACCTACTCACCACCACTCACCTACACTCAACACCACTCACCTACTCACCACCACTCACCTACACTCACCACCACTCACCACCACTCACCTACTCACCTACACTCACCACCACTCACCTACTCACCACCACTCACCTACTCACCACCATTCACCATCACTCACCACCATTCACCATCACTCACCACCACTCACCTACACTCACCACCACTCACCTACTCACCACCACTCACCACCACTCACCTACTCACCACCATTCACCATCACTCCCTTACACTCACCTACACTCATCACCACTCACCTACTCACCACCACTCACCTACACTCACCTACACTCACCACCACTCACCTACTCACCACCACTCACCATCACTCACCACCACTCACCTACACTCACCTACTCACCACCACTCACCTACTCACCACCACTCACCACCACTCACCTACACTCACCACCACTCAGCTACTCACCACCACTCACCAACACTCACCACCACTCACCTACTCACCACCACTCACCTACAGTCACCACCACTCACCTACTCACCACCACTCACCTACTCACCACCACTCACCACCACTCACCTACACTCACCTACACTCACCACCAATCACCATCACTCCCTTACACTCACCTACAGTCACTACCACTCACCACCACTCACCACCACTCACCTACTCACCACCACTCACCTACACTCAACACCACTCACCTACTCACCACCACTCACCTACACTCACCACCACTCACCACCACTCACCTACTCACCACCACTCACCACCACTCACCTACTCACCACCACTCACCTACTCACCACCACTCACCACCATTCACCATCACTCCCTTACACTCACCTACAGTCACCACCACTCACCACCACTCACCTACTCAACACCACTCACCATCAATCACCTACTCACCACCACTCACCTACTCACCACCACTCACCTACTCACCACCATTCACCATCACTCACCACCATTCACCATCACTCACCACCACTCACCTACACTCACGACCACTCACCTACTCACCACCACTCACCTACTCACCACCATTCACCATCACTCCCTTACACTCACCTACACTCATCACCACTCACCTACTCACCACCACTCACCTACACTCACCTACACTCACCACCACTCACCTACTCACCACCATTCACCATCACTCCCTTACACTCACCTACAGTCACCACCACTCACCTACTCACCACCACTCACCTACTCACCACCACTCACCACCACACACCACCACTCACCTACACTCACCACCACTCACACTCACCACCACTCACTACCACTCAATACCACTCACCTACACTCACCACCACTCACCTACTCACCACCATTCACCATCACTCCCTTACACTCACCTACAGTCACCACCACTCACCTACACTCACCACCACTCACCTACTCACCACCATTCACCATCACTCCCTTACACTCACCTACAGTCACCACCACTCACCTACACTCACCACCACTCACCTACAGTCACCACCACTCACCACCACTCACCACCACTCACCTACACTCACCTACAGTCACCACCACTCACCTACACTCACCTACACTCACCACCACTCACCTACTAACCACCACTCACCACCACTCACCTAGACTCACCTACACTCATCATCACTCACCTACTCACCACCACTCACCACCACTCACCTACACTCACCTACAGTCACCACCACTCACCTACACTCACCTATACTCACCACCACTCACCTACTCACAGCCACTCACCACCACTCACCACCACTCACCTACACTCATCACCACTCACCTACTCACCACCACTCACCTACACTAACCTACTCACCACCACTCACCACCACTCACTACCATTCACTACCACTCAACTACACTCACCACCACTCACCTCACCACCACTCACCTACAGTCACCACCACTCACCTACACTGACCACCACAAACCACCACACACCACCACTCACCTACACTCACCACCACTCACACTCACCACCACTCACTACCATTCAATACCACTCACCTACACTCACCACCACTCAACATCACTCCCTTACACTCACCTACAGTCACTCCCACTCACCACCACTCACCACCACTCACCTACTCACCACCACTCACCTACACTCAACACCACTCACCTACACTCACCACCACTCACCACCACTCACCTACTCACCTACACTCACCACCACTCACCTACTCACCACCACTCACCTACTCACCACCATTCACCATCACTCCCTTACACTCACCTACAGTCACCACCACTCACCACCACTCACCTACTCACCACCACTCACCATCACTCACCTACTCACCACCACTCACCATCACTCACCTACTCACCACCACTCACCTACTCACCACCACTCACCTACACTCACCTACTCACCACCACTCACCTACTCACCACCACTCACCACCACTCACCTACACTCACCACCACTCAGCTACTCACCACCACTCACCTACAGTCACCACCACTCACCTACTCACCACCACTCACCTACTCACCACTCACCACCACTCACCACCACTCACCTACACTCACCACCACTCAACATCCCTCCCTTACACTCACCTACAGTCACTCCCACTCACCACCACTCACCACCACTCACCTACTCACCACCACTCACCTACACTCAACACCACTCACCTACTCACCACCACTCACCTACACTCACCACCACTCACCACCCCTCACCTACTCACCTACACTCACCACCACTCACCTACTCACCACCACTCACCTACTCACCACCATTCACCATCACTCACCACCATTCACCATCACTCACCACCACTCACCTACACTCACCACCACTCACCTACTCACCACCACTCACCACCACTCACCTACTCACCACCATTCACCATCACTCCCTTACACTCACCTACACTCATCACCACTCACCTACTCACCACCACTCACCTACACTCACCTACACTCACCACCACTCACCTACTCACCACCACTCACCACCACTCACCACCACTCACCTACACTCACCTACTCACCACCACTCACCTACTCACCACCACTCACCACCACTCACCTACACTCACCACCACTCAGCTACTCACCACCACTCACCAACACTCACCACCACTCACCTACTCACCACCACTCACCTACAGTCACCACCACTCACCTACTCACCACCACTCACCTACTCACCACCACTCACCACCACTCACCTACACTCACCTACACTCACCACCAATCACCATCACTCCCTTACACTCACCTACAGTCACTACCACTCACCACCACTCACCACCACTCACCTACTCACCACCACTCACCTACACTCAACACCACTCACCTACTCACCACCACTCACCTACACTCACCACCACTCACCACCACTCACCTACTCACCACCACTCA